TCTGCACTTTGGGTCCTCTTAACTACAACCAAGACGTGACACAAACAAACCTGGGCACTGCACAGGATTCTTTTTTCCCCTCAATTTAATAAAACATAGCTGTGCACGGGGCATGGTTAGGTATAATTGTCTTTAACTTTTGTTTTTTTGTACTTTAAGAAAGGCACTGAGGTGGATTATAAATTATATTTTGTATCATCATTATCATTTTTTTATAACTCTTTATGGCTTTGAACCTCGTCTTTCTTTATGGCCATGCTCAAACTGCCTGTAGAACTTAATCTATGTGCATATTTTAACATTTCATAATCAGAATCAGAATCAGAAATACTTAAATAATCCCAGAGGGAAATTACTTTTGTTAAACGCTCCAGTTACAGTTTTTTAAATATATATATATATACACATTTCTGCAGAAATCTTTGTAGATTACCCACAACAAGACCACATACAAAAAAAGTATGGGTGCAATTAAGTGCCTCTTATTTGGAAACTTTAAATATCAGCACAAAGAAGGAGAGAGAGGCCAAGTGAATATTAGAGCCACCATTGAAGATATAATATCCAAGCTTCAAGATTACATTAGGAAGATGGCCCTAAGGGTTGAAGCATTCTGTGAATGTCTCAGACAATGGAAGGTGGCAGAGAAGGAACTGAAGGAACCATCTTTGGAGTATAAACCCTGACAGATAACTAAAGTGGCTGATATGACCAAATCCTACCAATGCATCGACCATACCAGACAAGATCCCAGGTTCAGACAATGCAAAGAGGCCCTAGAAACAATCAAGCATCTCACAGCAAGTTGTAAGATACTGGCAGGAAAGGAATACATGGAGCATAACCAAGTGTATGGTACAGCGTAATGTACAGAAACATATGTGCGTAATACAAACTAGAGACCCCCAGGTCAAAATGGGAGCAACCTCCCAAGGTGCTGGAGAATGGCAGAGCTAAGATACAGTGAGACTATCACATACGAACAGACAAAACGGTTGTGGCCAATCAACCAGACATTGTGATCATTGGTAAGCAGCAGAGGATGGCCGTAGTGATGGATATGGAATATAGACCAATGATGGAAACATCACTAAAGAAAAACATTAGCAACTGGAAAAAAAATACAAGGCTTTATGGAAGAACAACTACGATACTGCGAAGAACCTTAAAGCTCCCAGGTCTTTATAGAGGACCCAAGCTTAAGATGAAGAAACCACCCGGCCTGCTAACGAGGATGAGGGAGGCTAAGAGACTAGTATTTAAATAATTAAGTTAATTATCCTCAGAGCAAGGCGCCTTGGCCTCAGTATTTCTGACAATCTGTACTGCATCACATATGATCTTTACCGTACAAAACTACATTTAGCTGCAATGTCAACTTCCTTTGTTGTAAATAAAATGAAGAGTATTTTTGAACGTGTTTGATGGTTATCAAAAAGGCAGATTCAGATAATGAAATTAGATATAACAATCAGATGACATTGATGGCTGCATTAATGTTAGAATTTTTTGGGAAAAAATTAGAAAAAAAAAAACTTTTTACAGTGAATGAACAGTTAATGTGATCATAATCTGTACTTCCAGTTAATTCGGTAAAACAAAAAAATATATAAGTCTCAAAATATAACACTGGCTAGATTATTGCCTTCACTGATAACTGCAGTTCTGTGGAGTTCTTTCATTCATCTTGATATAAAAAGCTGTATTTCCTGCTGTCTAAAAAAATCTGTTGTAAAATATAATGAAACAAAACCTGAGCTATTTGTGCCACAAATAGTTTTATGGAAGCAGATTAGCACTGCACAAAAGCCCTGTTGGAGTTTGAACCTTCGTGTTTGGTACAATAGAAAGACTTCACTTTACTAAAGAAAAAAGTTCAATTCACTAAGAATTTGTGATTCATTCCTTGTTTGTGATTTAGTTCATGGGCTGTGCTGTACATTTTAAGAACTACATCCTTGACAGTTTGCCATTGGGATAATGCCAGAAGAGTGATGTGCTGGCTGAAATTTTACTGAGATCAATTTACGAATATTGCGGGGGGAAAAAAAGGTAATTCCCCAAATTCTATGAGTTTATCCAGCTTTGTGAAAGTGAAACACAAAATATTTAGATTTTTACCCCAGAACTTATAATCCCACCTTAGGAAATGGGGCTCAGGACATCAGGAACAGCTTTGGGAAAGAACAAATAGGAAGACTTAAGATGGACATATAAAGAAAACAGAACTATACAAAAAGACTGATCCACCAGAAATGTATCTAAATGCACAAAACCCCCCAAAAAACCCAGAATGCATGTATAAGCTATGCTACAAAGGCTTGAACCATTATGGAAGCACCCGTCTGGAAATAAAGAGACACAGAAAAATGATCATATTGGCAAAGCCTTTTCACCCATAATGAAAACTAAGTCGTAAATTAAAAAAAAACAAAAAAATACCATGGTCAAAGAAAAAACACTTAAGAAAAATAACAGCAACCCTCCAATGTGGCTAAGTTAGAACAAAAAAGAATTGTCCGAATTCCTCCACATTGACATAAGAGATTAATCATCACTGGAAAACTACATTTTGTATCTGGCATGATATTTAAGCCTAAAACGCATGACAAAAATTCTGCTTTATATCTAGTTATAAGTGAATCTACAACTGAATCTGTTTTTGAATCTGTTTAACTTTTAAAGCAGCTTTAAATGGGATATGATCAACCATGGCTCAGTAACAATAAAAGCAGAATTTAACTAAGCTGATGTGATATTGTGTTTTTTTATGCAATTAACTGAATTTTACTTGACTTTCTTAATGTGTTCTTCTTTCCCCAACAGGGAGATGCTGGAGAGCCCGGTCCTGTAGGCCCAGCTGGTAAACCAGGCAAAAGAGTACGTTTTCAGACATAATATGAACATATGAATGACAGGGACCCCTGCATGTCTGTCAGTGACAGAGACTCCTAACACTGTATTTACCTCACACATGCATGCTAGCTTAAATGTAGGAAATCTAAAAGAGGAGAGTGTTGGTAGTCTGTAGTGGTGGCGCTTGTTTCTCTGGAATGTCTCAGAGAATAGTCTGACCCTGGATCTCACATCAGCTCTATTTTCACAGTAAGGGGAGACTAAGCAGCAGGCTGAAAGAGCTCCCTGTTTCCTCAGCATTCCTCTGTTGGTCAGTGATCAAAGGCAGAGCGGCACACAGAAACATACCAGAGAAAATAATAATCCTATAGTAGAACAAAAAATGTTCAACCTGAACTCATGGTAACTGATAATTGGCTGTTGGAGTAGTTAAAGTATAAGTAATTGTAGTTTGACCTAATTTAGTCACTTTTTTCCCTTCTGCTTGTAACATGTCAATTGTGTAATGTCCTTATACTCATTAGATATGTATGCACCTTTATTAAAGGGACCCAAAGGGGATCCTGGTCTCCCTGGTCTCCCAGGGCCTCCCGGCCTTCCAGGAGTTAAGGGAGAAAGGGTAAGAAATGAGTACATGTTTGTTAACATCGGTCAATAAATCGAAGCACAATTGAAGCCTTATTTTCTGAAATTTGATCTCTGCATTCTGGTCTGATTGGTTATCACCTTCAATGTGTCATTTACAGGGTGAACGTGGAGAACAAGGACCCAAAGGAGAACAAGTAAAAGAAAACAAATAAATTCCAATCACAAAGCATTTAGATAACATCTGGTCTCCTTTGAGTCCATAAACAAACAGGCTTTGTTTTGCAGGGAGCTCAAGGGGATGAGGGAGATCCTGGAGAGAGAGGAGAAGTTGTAAGCTCCTACACCAACACTAGCAATGATCAGATTGTGATTTGGTTGTAATAAAGCGGATTAAAAAATGTGTCATTGATGTCATAGGGTGATGCTGGAGAACCTGGACCAAAAGGAGAGGTTGGTCCTTTATCTGGTTTTATGCTGGATTCCTAATAAATTCAAGCAATTTTGAGATATTTACCGTATGTAAATATATCATTGTTTGCTTGCAGGCTGGTATTTCAGGTGAACCTGGCAATAGGGGTCCTGAGGGACCCCGAGGCCAGCCGGGTATTGACGGTCCCCCTGGCTCACCGGGACCACGAGGAATGCAGGGAAACAGGGGTCCACGTGGGGTCAGAGGATCTCAGGGACCTGCGGTAGGTCCAAAACAGAAAATACAAGTATTTCTAAAGTAACAGATGAGACTTGAAGAAGTTGTGTTCACCCCACGCATGGGGCCAAAAACTCTGGAGCCAGGAAGATGCTTAAGTGTTGGTCCTGTTTGCTGATTCTGAAAAAAAGTTTCTCTATGCCCTACAACCAGAATCAGAGTCAGAAATACTTAATAATAATAATCCCAGAGGGAAATTACTTTTGTTACACGCTCCATTTACAGTTTTATAT